AACCTACAAGGTACAAATTAGTAACTGTGTTCTTAAAACTTTATTTTCCAGGTGCATGATAATCAACTGACATCGCTTCCTTCTGCTTTAGGACAATTAGAAAATCTTCAGAAACTTGATGTCAGGTAAGTACATGTTACAAACCTGGAACATGAGAAATACTGCAGTGACTTTCATGGTGTGAATAAGAGATTGCAGCGTATCACATTTTCTTTCAGAAAATTAATTTCAGATTTTTAACTAGAGAATATGAGTATATCAAAAATCGTAAGTTTTGGATCAAAACTGATGACCTTAGGTTTGTTAAAATGATTTTCACTGATACTCAAAGTCACAGCGTCACTTGGAAGGTGCAAGCAGTGGTATTTGGAATAATCACACAGAAGCAGTATCTACATTCATTTGCTTAAGTTGAGGGGGTTTGAGTATACAGATACTTTTTGTTGTGAATAATATGCAATGTAAATAATTGTATAGATATCGTTCATGCTGGAAAGCTCATAATCTTCTGTTTACTGGAGTAATTTCGTAAATTTGTGCACAGGGAGAAAGAGGGTATGATGCCATTGTGTGTGTGAACTACATAAAACAAAAAAAATTAAGATCCAGCTGGAATATGGTAAATTCAGATGAGAGTTAAAGTATTCTTGAACAAATAAATAACCAAACATAATTACTTTCTCCCAGGAAAGTAATCCATTGTAGAAGGCTGTAACAGTTGTAGGAGACAGATTTTTCTTAAAGGTGACGGTATCCTGAACAGCAAGCATACGTGCGTGGTGCAGTGTCGGAATGTTTTGCAGAAACTTGCCTTGCTGTAGATGTAATTAATAGTTAGGCTGTGCCAGCACAGAATATCCAGTGTATCTGATGCTGGATGTGCTTTGTACGTGCTCTAGGGTCTGTGGAGTTTGTGTTGCAACAGGCCGAGTGTGGCTAAGGTAGTCCAGCAGATACAAGTGTAGCTCTAGTTTGGATAGCATCGTATGTAACTGCATACAGAACCCTTCTGTTAATGTTCTTAAAACTACTTACTAATTGTTTTTTCCCTTTCTGTTCCATGTTTTAATACTAGCCACAACAAACTGAAAAGTATCCCAGAAGAATTGATGCAGTTGTCACATTTGAAGAGCCTTCTTCTTCATCACAATGAGCTGAGTCACTTGCCGGATGGATTTGGACAGCTTGTCAATTTAGAAGAATTAGTAAATTACAGCTTTTTGAAAAATATTTATTTGTGCAGAAAGGCTGATTTATCTGTGTTTTGCTACTGCTAATTAAAAAAGCCCCATAGCTTAGATGGCAGAACTTTGTGAATATTCTAATGACTTATGTAGGTTGTCAGTTCTTACATGGTGGGGGTTTTTTTTGTTTGAAACCAACTTTTGCTCTTGGTTTGCCAAATATTTTAAGAAAAATCAAATCCCTTGTGATCTATCAGTCATGGGAGTCTTGTTTCTTCTATTCACATTTCTAACAGGGAGTTGCTGAAGATGTCGGCCATCTAATTTTAATGTTCTACCAGTAATTAACTTTGCAGTAGCAGTACTCGTGGGATATTTTAAACATCTCTATTTCTAATCTGTCTCTTTTTTTTTTTTTAATCTTCAGGATCTGTCCAACAACCATCTCACAGACATTCCAACAAGTTTTGCTTTGCTCATTAACTTGGTGCGACTCAATTTGGCATGTAATCAGCTCAAGAACCTGCCTGCAGATATCAGTGCGATGAAAAGTAAATTAGTTTCCTCAGATTATTAAATTCCATGCAGCGAGTTCTGTAGTTAGGTTCAGAAATACAGTGCATATTATTCAGGATTTTAAAAATACATTCTTAAAGACTTAATGTATTCTTAAGAATACTAGTTCAGAATTATTTAAAAAAAATTATTTAAAAAAATCAGCTACAGCTACTGTATATCAGTCCTCTTATGGTTCACGTTTCTTGATAAATGGGACACGGAATGATCAGAATAGTGTAAGGATTAATGTTGTTCTGCTTAGGCGTTATTAGCCTTAAGGCTGCAATAAGCAATTTGACTTATTTTTTCCTTTATTGTGTATTTTGAGTGGAAAATAAAGCCTAAATGAGAGAGAGTTGGAAATTATTGGAGGGGGGAAGACCATAAATTAGAGAGCGATAAAGTTGACTTCTAAGACTTGAACACAAAATGTCAAGCTGACTAGTGGTTGATATGAAATGCATATTGTAATAGCTGTGGCAGATCTTCAGGAGCAGGTGGTAGACTGCCAGCTCTTGTAAAAGCTGTAGACATTACTTGCAGACCTTTCTGAGATGGTCTGCAATATTAGACCCTTTCTGGACAAGAGCTAGTATCTGGCAGTGTCACTGAAAGCATTCCAGAATGTTCTATGAAGAATAAATGAAAAGCAGATGCTTTGTTTTCAGAAATGTTGATGCTAACTGATTTGGTCTCTTCCAAAATTCTGTTTGGCAAAATGTTGTTATGTTTATTTTAATACTTGATTTCTTCCAAAATTCTATTTGGCAAAATGTTGTTATGTTTATTTTAAAAAACAGGATATTTATTCTTCTGTAGAAAACGATTTTTATTTTCTCTTACTTTTCTGTTTGTCACTGCACACTTACTCCTATAGGCTTAAGACAACTGGATTGTAGTAAAAACTCCCTGGAAACTGTACCTTCTAAATTAGCAACTATGGCGTCTTTGGAACAACTCTATCTGAGAAAAAATAAATTACGTTCCTTACCAGAATTTCCCTCATGCAAATTACTGAAGGTAAGGTTTGAAATGGTTGGTACACTGTGAATGTATTTGCTGTTAACTTTTAAAATAATGACTGTTACTTTAAACACAAATTTTTGTGAAGTGCTGTGATCAAAAGTTGATAATTCTGTGTTTCAAACTCTATTTAATACACCCCCATTTGCAATTACTCTTACTGTCCACATTGGTCAGTCTTAAGGTCATTTGGAAGACAAATTTGCAGCAGTACTCTTCAGATTTGGAAAATAAATATTTAGAAGAATAATGACTGAAAAACTGGATTTAGTGTTGCCTGCAACAGTTATCTTTTTATCTGTAGGAACACTTTCTGGATAAATTTATTTTGTTCATTATCATTTTTTTAATTTGTAACTGCAGAAAAAGTATACCTTTTTTTTTCCTTTTAGCATAATCAAATCTTCCAGATATTTTGTAGCCTTAATTCCCAATATGTTTAAAATTGAAAATCGTCTGTCTCAGAACATCAGAAATTTGTTACTCAACTGGTAGAAAAATGATTGGGCTAAGTGAATGCCTGTATCACTGGGTTATTTCCAATGACCAAATCCATCAAAGAATGCAAATACTTTAGTTCTGCACAACTCTGAACTCAGCAGTTAAAATCCCAAGCTATTTCAGTATTTTCTACCAAAATTCGTGTTGCTGTGTGAAGTTCAGTGTCCTAGTGCGTCCAGCAGCATGCGTGCACTCTTTTTGATCTAAAGAATGATTCAGTTCTTCCAGTATAAATGAAATATTTCCAATAGAGAGATGGAGAGCTACCCTCTCAACTTCGTCTGTCTTGGAATTTAAGAAAGTTCTTGACTAAAGAAGTTGTTGACAAGTTCTTGACAAAAGTGGAGCAAATTTATTCCTAGCTTGGAAATGGAACTCAAAGCTGAGCGTTCTGTGATGGCTTCAAAAAAGCTAAGTTCAGACTTGTGTCTCTGGATCTTCGGAGGCTTTGGTATTTCATATGCAGATGAAAGGGAATCGGGATCTGTATTTTCTCCATTTCATCATATGTTTTTGCTGCTGTCATGATTTAGGAGATCAGTATTATAAAGTAATTTTACTAGAGTAACGTAGTTGTGGGTGATCTTTGTTTCCATAGGAGTTGCATGCTGGTGAAAATCAGATTGAAATATTAAATGCAGAGAATCTGAAGCATCTGAATTCCCTCTCTGTATTGGAACTTAGAGACAACAAGATAAAATCAGTTCCTGATGAAATTACTCTTCTTCAGAAGTTGGAGCGACTTGACCTTGCCAACAATGATATCAGTAGGTAATACGAAAAACGGCATTCTGTCTGTGATGAGGCCTAGCTAATGACTTCTAATGACAACTAATTCTATAGCTGATGTATTACGCCTTGTAAAATGTAATTAAAAGAGGACTCAATCATACAATGAAGGAACCCTTTCTATATTCTGTAATTGCTATGATCAAACTGTGGCTCTCTTAAATGTACTGTGTTCTGTATCTTTTTATTTGAACCTGAGCTTCAGAATACCAGGCCATCTGATGAACCATTGCAAATCCTTTAGAAATTGTTTTGAAGCTGCTTTGAAATGAGTTGTTTCCATTTGCAGATTGCCTTATACATTGGGGAACCTTCCTCAGCTGAAATTCCTGGCATTAGAGGGAAATCCTTTGAGAACCATTCGAAGAGACCTCCTGCAAGTAAGCACTATGGACAGAATATAAAATTTGGTCATGCTGCATACGTACGTTATCCAAATTGCGTAGCCAGAACGTTAAAAAAAATTAGAATACATCCAGATTTCAAGTAGCCTGCGCAACTCTCATCCACCTCTTTTGTTTGCGTGTATTGTGGTTTGGGTACTTTTTCCACTGGAGTGTGATGCAATGCCTAAGACCATGAGGACTGTGGAATAAAGGAGGTCCTTGCTTTATAGGACCTGTTTCTGATTTGCTACAGAAGTTGTAATATTTATTGCAATTGAAGCAATGGGTGTCTGGGAAAGGAAGGATAAGGCAGCTGTCTGCTGCCTAATCCTGTTGCAAGCACAGTTCGTTGCAATGCGAGGCGAATACTTTAGATCAGGCTTTTCCTAGATCAGCGTGGATTTCCGTTTTTCATTTCCTACTTGCCTGAATTAAGGATCTAGGATTCAATTCCCAAAGTGTATTTGATGGCAGATGCATTTTGAGCAATGGCAATCTGATGTACTACGTTTTCTGAAGGATAACCTTCACCTCAGATCTGCATTCTCTTTGTAGATAACTGACAAGGTGAAGGTGTGAGTTGTGCCTGAGAAAACAGGTACTTAGGGCAGGAGGGAGGCTGGACCGTGGGCACTACTGCTGCAATAGAATTCCCTTGTATTTTTTTCCCCAGCAAGCCCCTCTTCTCATTGGTGGTATACATTACTTCTTTCTGTGCTTTTGCCAGTGTTATAAACGTTTACAAAGCACTGAGATTCTCTAAAAATAAGGGACACTGAAGACGCTTTGTTCAAATGAAATTTTGTAATAGCTGTCAGAAGAGGGAAAACCTTGTGTATCTGATTAAGTGAGCATTGGATGCACTAAATTAATGAGCAGAGCTTCAGTGAATGGAAGTCATACATGATTCCAGAGCTCAGAGTTGGTTTAAAATGTACATACAAAGGAACCTGAGTTAGGGTTGCCTGGTTGCTTTAGTGCTGGTATTCCCTAGCTTCTGAGGATTTGCTGTCTTTCAAATGTAAGAGCATAATGTGTGTAATTTCTTTTGTATTGTTCAAATTTGTAGCAAATGACAGGTACAGGGATTCCATTAAAACATTTTATACTTACACTGTCTTGATCCATTACCAACAGTGTAAATTCATATAACTGGAATTTTGTATGCCTATCTAGAGTTTTTTTTACACTTGATTTAGAGGAGTAATTGATAAAGCTTGTAGGGTTCCCTAGGCACTACTTAGAAGCAGGTGAATATTGAGATTAAGGCTTGGCAACAACCCGGGGGTAAGTATAGTCTAGCAGGCACAGATTCCTCCCTGCTCCATCTCATCTCTTCCTGTTTGTCAGGCCTCTCCTTCTAGTCCCAAACCCATTCTTGTTTCTTGATGAGTTTCTAGGCAGTTTCTGTTAAATCCTAGTCTCGCCTTTTTGCGTAACGTACCATCACCTGGCTGTTGCGTTTTGTCTTGCTGTCTGCTCTCCTCTCCATGCAAGCCATGTGACTGTTACTCAGCTCTCTGTTTGACCTTCACCTTTTCCTTGAAAGCTTCCAGGTTCTTCCATATCTGCTTCCCTTGTCTTGCTCAGCTCAGCACATGCCACGCCTGCAGGCAGTCCCAGTCTCCTCCGGTCTCTCTTTCTCAGTCTTTTGTTTTCTATTGCTGTCATCTCACCAGGTTCCTTGAGAGAGTTCCTTCCTTTCCAGCTTCTGCATTTTCTTTATCCCCTCTGCATTCAGATCAGCCAGTCTCTTACTGTGGGTAATATAGATGTCAGCTAGAATGAGACATGTGGATTCATATTCAGTGCTTTAGTTCAGTCCCTGGTTTTAAAGCATCAAGGAGAAGCATGTAAAATTGTAAGGAAAACCTGGCTTTATCCTAAAACAAATGAGCTAGATGAAAATACGTTTAATTACTCATAGGTTATGCAGATAGTAACTGGATTTGACCAGTAGAAGTTGCTGTGAGAGAACTGGAAGAATTCTTTGGAGGACCGAGCTGTTAAAAATCCATGCAAATTATGTAAACTGCAGTGTTTTTCCCAGAGTGTATAATTCTGGACATAAAAAGTTGCCAGAACACTGAAGAGTCAGCTTCCTTGACAAATTTTAAATATCTTCTCCAAAGCATAACTGTGCTAGACCTTTTTAAAGAGAAGATTAAGTTATTTTGAACTTTTTTCCTTGCTCTTGGAACTGGCTAACTACTTCAGATAAAAAGCTAAAAATGTGGAGCCTGAGGTGGTGATATGGGAGCGGAAATGTTCAGCTGCAATAAATAACGTAAATAAGCGAGTTCATAAGCTGCTGTGAAGGGGGTTTTCTATGAGAAGCATTAGGTGGATTTTATTGTCAGCAGTGCAATGGGCTCCACCTATGTGACTGGAATTGTCGTTCTTCATTGTCAAAACAGCTATATAAACACTATAAACACTGGCTGGCAAATGTTTATTGCTTTTTTTTTTTTTTAAGAAAGGCACCCAGGAACTTCTGAAATATCTAAGAAGCAAAATCCAAGGTATGTTGCTCTATTGCATTTCATTTTAAAGAGAATCTTTCTAAGAAATTAAAGTAAGTTAGAACCTACGCAGAGGGTAGCTGTTTAAATCCAGGTTCCTCCAGTTATCCTGCAATAATAGAGTTTTCTTTACTCAACAGTTTGCTTTTATATTTCAGTACTGTTTCTTATTCTATTAGATAGTACTGAATAACCAACACTTCTTATTGAGGATTATAATTTAGAAAAACTATCCCCGTGGTCCCTTTATGCATTTTGCATGAGGAATTCCAGTAGCTTTTTTTATTTTTCCTCTGAACATCATGGGAAATTTACATAAGTTCTTCTTTTTAAGCTTGCCATCTGTCTGCTGGCTCCGTCACTGTACCAAGTGTAGGTGATATTTTGCAAAGGTATTATGTATTATTCATTCATGTAATAACTTGGGCAGTACAGTCCTGTGATTCCCAGAAATTACCTGCATGAAAAAGTCTGCCTTGGTGATGCCATCAAGTCTGCCTCATAGCTGACTAAGAATATAAAAAGTTTTGGGGGAGAAACTGATTGTTTTAAACATCATTCTAATCCTGGCCTGTTAGAATTCATCTTTCTACTGTCTAATAGTGCTGATCCCAACATTCCCTGTAGAAATAATTAAAAAGTCATAAAGCAGAAAATGAGATTAAATATTTCAAGGGAATTACTTCTCTTTGCAAATGCTGTATGTTTTTTGCAGAATCCTCTCTTGGATTCAAAGCTCTGCCTCTGTGGATTAAAAAGCACCTAGACAATTCTGTACCGTGCTTCTCTAGCAGATACGGTACTCTGTAAAAATGAACTGAGAGTATTCAAAAAGTGGACAAAAAGTTGCTAGTTGCTTTTGTGCACTCAGGTCACTTTCCAGATTGATACCTGGGCTTCTAGTTCACTGAGATACTTTGGCATTTGGCTTTTTTTTTTTTTATATTTTCTGTGTTTTCTAAACGAAATAGTGGAGATGACAGTTTATTTTTTATTATATAGGAAACAGGCTGTCAGAGTCTTTAAGTAACTTGCATGCTGAGAATAAGAATTCCTTTCAAAACAGGATTTCAGTTTACTGTCTTTAGAAATCTTCATCTTCCTTAAGTTTTAAAACATAAAGTAGGCAAAATGACCGAGGTGGCTGGTCATGTTAAATATAATACGGGAATTACATGCTGCACTTAAATGGCAAAAAATGCTTACCCTCTTAAATTAGGAGGGGCCTTGATAGCACAGGCGAGCAACTTCTGTTGAAAATGGTGAATGTTCCTTTTGTTGAGTGGCCTGTCTCTCCATCTGCCAGAGGATGGCAGTATTAATTAGGTTACTGCTGCATAGAAAATTGCTTCACAATACCAGGTTCCATGCAAATCTGTCCTGTTATTAACTTGACAAAAATGAATGGACTGCTAGAGTACATACCTGGAAGCTTACTTGGTGACCTACAACAGAGAATATAATTGTGGATAATAAAATGAGCTAATGTCTTGCATGTACAGCAATGCTTATGATTTTACTCTACCTGTTATGGCATCTAAGTCGGAGCTAAAACAGTAGCAGTCCTGTTTCTGTAGAGGTTTTAACTGGAAAAAGGCCTCTCTTTTAGCTTGTTTTTGACCCTTTTGACCTTTCTTAATGAAAGGATAGCTAGTTGCGGTTAGGCGCAATTGTTAGTAGACTTTTATTCATGAATGCTGCTGAATTTCCATACAGTTTTGTTCAATTTCTTTTAGTGGAAGTTGGATTTATCGTATGTTTGGACTTCTAGCTAAGGCTCACCCTGCGTAGGCGTATGTGAATCCCAAGGGTGTGATGCCACGCCTCAGGTGTGCAGAACAATGCTTTTAATCGGCATCTCTTAAACATTCAAACTAGCCTTGCAACACCAATAGCTTTTTGGTGTGGATTGTAGGTAGTAATCGAAAGGAACTTTACAGAGGAGGCTGTGATGAAGGTTTATAAATATCAATGTTTCAACTAAAATTGTGGTCAGATTTGCTGTTCTGGATATAGGTGATCTAGAGCATCGTTTCTAGCCCAAATTCCCTGTTTATCATTATTTCTAGGTCCCTACCCCATGGAGGCTACTGCCTAACATAACAGCTAGCTACCGCCAGCATAACATCTCTATTGTGTCGTGACCTAATTTTTCAAAATCCAAGTCAACCCCTCTCCTTCCCACCCCCCCAAAAAAAACCCACAAAACCAAACAAAACAGAAACACAAGATTAAAAAAAAAGTTCCTGGAAAATTCTTGAAATCATCTGAAACAGATTATATTCACTTGAGTGAGAAGACAGGAAGAATTAAAAAGGGCCATGGCAGGTGACTAGGGACGTAAACCTCTCTGTCTAGGTCGTTCAGAACACCACATCTGACTGCAGGCTGCAGTTTGCGTGATTGTGTGCGTTTGTTATCTCTAGATGATGTAACGAGCCGAAATGAAGAGCCTCCTGTGACAGCCATGACTCTTCCAAGTGAGTCAAGGATTAACATGCACGCCATAACTTCACTAAAATTATTGGAATATAGGTACGTGTTTTGAAATATTACCTATTTCTAAAGTTGTAAGAACACTTTCCCATTTTTTGCCCTTTTTTTTCTTTTCCCCTTCATGATACGTACCAAACTGTCTGCAAGTCGTGCTGCGTTTGTGCGGTTTGCACTTTAATTTGTGTGCTTGGGAACAGACAGATTTGAATTGCAGGAGTTGTTAATTATTTCTTTTTATTGTCACTTATTCTGCAGTAACATTCCTTTGAACCCACTGAAATGCTTAATACCTTCAGGTGCTTTTAGTACCTTTTAAAATTCATTAGTAATTTTCATTAAGTCTCAGAACATCTTGTAGTAGGTATCTCTTCGGTTATTTCTGAAATGTAACCAACAATGTGACTGGTTAGGTTGGGAAAGGGGAAGAAAGCCCTCTTTGCCGAGCACGGCTGGGTGAAATGCCTACTCCAGCTGAGAGCTGGAACGGGGAAAGGACCTCGCTGTGGTGAAAGGGCCGGGAGGGCTTTGGTCATCACAGATGTTCGGGAGCTCCACACTGAGTGGTTACCCGAGTTACACGTCACCGTGCTGGGGAGGTTTCCTGAGCCGAGAGGAGGAAATCTGTTTAATGCCAGCCTTGCTACACTTGCCGGCCCAATATGCAGCATGCACATGTTTGTTGAGGTAGTGACGTAACTCAGCTCTTACCGATTTTTCTGAAGCGAGATAACAGATCAGGGTGCCAAGGTGCAATGGTTTTACCATACTACAGATATATCATACCGATATCGTATACAGCTATATCATAATACAGATGCCATGTAACATGGTGCAGTGATTGTTGGCTTTCTGATTAACGGTCCTTCAGGGACTTCAAATTGTAGATATTTATGTATCTATTCTACTACTCATCTTTTTCTAAAAGAAGATGAAAATGTCTTGTTAATAAATAGGAAATGATTAACTTGCTTGTGTTACTCAGCTAACAGCTTTTCATTGTTTAGTGAGAAACAGGCAGCTGTGATTCCTGATGAAATGTTCGATGCAGTCAGAAGCAATCCTGTCGCCACTGTCAACTTCAGCAAAAATCAGCTGAACGAAATTCCTCCAAGGTACTTTTCTAAAGGTCATTCTCTGTTTGCTACTTTCTTGTCTACTTTTTTCCCTCAGCATCTTGTGCTTTTCTTGGTCAAGTGTATTTAAACTTTATGCTATGTATGTGCGCGTATACACACATACACAAATGAAAGTACGATTGAGATGCTCAATGATACACTTGCATTTCTAGTACGAGTAGCATGCAGCGGGGTCCATTGGTTACTTTGAAGATTGCAGTAAAAAGAAGTTTGGCTGTACTCACTGCTGCTTTCATCACACGTCGTTTTTCATCTTGCTTTGCTAAGCATTGTCGAAATGAATGAGAGGAGACTGATGTGACCTCTCACAGTAATGAAGTGCTGTACTCCACTACAGTGTGGTATTGTTTTCTCTACAAAGCAGTCCTTTTACTGTAGGAAGATAGTCTGTGTGGATTCACCACTTTGTTGGGTGATAGCTTTGTACTATAGCTGAGGTTCTATTTAAATTTGGTTTCTTCAGATAGCATAATTGTTTGTGGGGTTTTTTGAAGGAAGGCTGAACAATTTCCATGCCTCTTTTCTTGATAGGTTTTGTGTCGCATCACATAGCATTTGATATTACTGCACTTGTTACCTCATACCACATTCTGTTGACACTAATGGGAATAAATAGTCTTTTGGTGTAAGGAGGAAGGTTATTGCACCTCTAGTAGCCCAGGAAAATAATGGAAGCTGATTTTTAAGAACAGCACCACGTTTGTGGGAGTAACTTGTTTCCATTCTTGGACCCAAGCGTGCTGAACATTTCACCTTTAGCACATAGAACTTGAAGAGGTGCTATCGCTTTCTCATAGGAAAAAATCTCTTTTCGGTACAATCTGTAGAAAATCAGTTTAGTGAGATAATGCTTGTGCCTCCCATGCTTTTTCACTGTTGTAGAGGCTGTTGCATTCCCTGGGGAGGAAGGTGTAGGTGTGCAGCTGCTAGGTGCCAGAGAATTTAGTGGCAACCCAGATAGGAGAGATGAGTATTTTCTTATCTAATTACCCTTTGGTTTTAGGGCTAAAACAGAGAATCTGTTTATAGGGATTCAATAACTTTTTGAACTTTTAAACATTTTACACCAAAGCATCTTAATATAATACCATTTTATGAGAAGCAGCAAACAGTGTGTTCCTGAAATTTGTAATACCAAAGGAGTGGAACAGAAACAAAAGATGGGAATAAAATGACAATCTCTGTTTGTTTGACTGTTAAAGAAGATGGATAGAGTCTTTTTGTTAAAACTTTTACAGGGCAAGAGATGGCAGTAAGTGTCATCTGTGCCATAGTTTCCGAAATACCTCTTAACTGCATTTAAGTGAGTAGTTTTGTCCTAAAATTTACTCTCCTAATCAGTGAGAGAAAATTGGCTCTCCTGGTAACTTTAGATAAGTGATTCTGAGCTTTGCCTTTATAGCAAGGGTAAGACTGCAGGACAGGCGGCTTTCACAGGGGAAGTTTCCATTATCTTCACTCCACAAAATTGCTTCTGAAATGTCAAGAAACAGAGAGTGTCCTTGATTTGTAGAATAAAGCAAGTTTTTTTTCAATAACTTAGAATGCAAACTTGAGCTTACATAATAAAATCATATTCGTGTTGGGTTTCAGGATTGTGGAGCTGAAAGACTCGGTTTGTGATGTCAACCTTGGCTTCAATAAAATCTCATCTATTTCCTTGGAGCTTTGCATGCTCCATAAATTGACGCATTTGGATATCAGGTTTGTGACATGTGTTGGACTTCCTTTCTCGGTAACTTATTTTCATGCCTTTTTAAACCAGCCATCTGTTCCAGTACTGAAATAATTTTTCATTTCCCAAAATGCCTCCGTGACAGTTGAATGACCGGCAGATCTGAAATAGCAAATGGCCTAGATTTAGGCATCGGTTAAACAAAAACACAAAAAACAAGTGGACAAGCTCTGAGACTTGCTGTGATGAAAGGTCTTGCCTCAGTCATAAAAAGGTTCTTGGAGATGTTTAAGCTGCTATTTAAAAATACCCCCCACCACCACAGCAAAAAAACCCTGGAGGGTAGCTGGGACATAGTACCATGAAGGTGCAGATCTTGTTGTGCTGCCTGAAATTGAGGCTGGCTGTAGGTATTTTATATGCAATAGATAGTTACGTACTGTCATTTTACCTTCTCTAATTCCTGAAAAATGCTCATGGACATCAGGATTAGCTCGCTGGCATTTGCTATCTTTGGGGTTTCACAAAATGAAAAGTAGCAAAGCACAGTTGCAGAGACAGATTTTTACTTTGGCTTGATTTAAAGTAATCTGCCTGTGCCTGTGGAGAGTCCAGCGAGGGCCCACCGAGGTGCTGAAGGGACGGGAGGGTCTCTCCTACGAGGAGAGGCTGGGAGAGCTGGGGCTGCTCAGCCCGGAGCAGAGCAGGCTCAGGGGATCTCATCCACGGGTACAAACACCTGCAGGGAGGACGGAGCCAGGCTCTGCTCTTCCAGGGGTGCCCAGGGACAGGACCAGAGGCCAGGGGCACACACGGACACGCAGGAGGGTCCCTTTGGAGCCGCTTTATCACGGGGGGGGTAAGCCAGTACCACCAGGGAGGTGGTGGAGTCTCCAGCCCTGGAGATACCCAGAACCCAGCCGGGCATGGTCCTGGGCCGCCTGCCCTCGGGGACTGGACCAGATGAGCTCCGGAGGTCCCTGCCAACCCCAGCCAGTCGGTGACGCAGTGACGTACCTGCCTCTGATGGGGGGGTTAGGCTGAAGACTGCAGAAATGGATGATAATATCAGATTGATGAGGGAACGAGGTTGAGTATCTCTGTGGTTAAGAATTTAAGTCTGAGTCTGGGCATCTTTTAGTGAGTGGTCTGTCTTTTCCTGTGTCACACTCAGGACATTCCTTATTTCTGCTTACAAACCCCTGTCTCCCTTGCATCTAAGAAGCTTCTGAAGGGCTTCCTGTTGTGGGAAACACTGCGGTAACAGTAACCATAAACGCGTTTGTTACAGCAGTTGTCAACCCGGCTAAACAAGTTTTGAAGAGGTTTAGAGTTATCCTGCTGATTCACCTTGGCACCAAGATGTGGGCAGTTTTACAGGCTTCCCTCTGAAACCCAAGGAGCTGAATTGCCAGGCAGGTTTGCGGAGTTGTTGGATGCTTTGAAATACTTGGGAATCTTCAGAGGACAGACTTTAAATCTCCCACTGGCAGAAATGAGAATGCAAACTTGGCTTCCATTAGCAAGCATCTGCACTTGAGCATGGTCTTGACCCATTTATGAAGCAATTAATTGGTTTAAGACGGTATGTTGGCACTGATAAATATGTATATTCTGTCTCTGTGGATTCTTAACTAAAACTTTGTAGAAGTTAGTCATTATTGTTTGTCTTCATTTGATACACAGAAATAACTTTTTGACATCTTTACCTGAGGAAATGGAGGCACTGACAAGACTGCAAATAATAAATCTTTCTTTTAATAGGTGAGCAACTATTTAGATTTTTTTTTTATACAATAAAAAACCAAACTGGGCCAAATTCAGTATGATTTTCCTGTGATGTAAGAATGAGGAGGCACTTGATCAACTATCTGTGAGCTTAAAACCGATGAAGCAAATGTCGTTCTTCACACAATGGGTGGTGTATTTTTGGAACTTTCTGCCGCAGACATTTTGGAGAGAGACAGTAGCAACGGGTTAAAAAAGGGATTAAACAATCCTGTGAACAATATATCCAAAACCGGATACCGACAGGCATCCGTAACACAGCAGTTCGGAGTGATGGAAAAATAGGCAGACGGGGCAGCAGCGACGTGGTGTCCCGGAGAGCGCCGGCTGTTGCTGGCAGCAGGGAGGAGGCTGGGCTGGAGGGACCCGTCCTCCGACTCGGCGGGGTGCTCCTTAGCTGCACGAGGGAGCAACGGGCGCTGTTCTCCCTCCTTGGCGCTGGTGAGTCGCGGTCCGAGAGACACGGCCCTCTCGTGAAGTGAACGTAGTTGGCCTGCCGTTCAGCAGAGGTGCTGAGCTGTCGCTGTGCAGTTTGTTGAGCTTTTTCACAGTGTGCAAGGTAAAATAACGGCTGCTTTCTCCTTTCGGAGCAGTGTGTCTAAACATTTATCTTAAATCAGTAAAGCTAAAATGCTGTCTGATTTTAAAGGCTGCTAATTTTTTAAATGCCCTATTTCTGACTTTCTTTGGTTTGCCTCCTTTTTCTTCCTGAAGATTTAAAGTATTTCCCAGCGTCCTTTATCGCATCCTAGCACTGGAGACTGTCCTGCTCAGTAACAACCAGGTTGGGTCCCTAGACCCTCTGCAGCTGAAGAAGATGGACAAGCTTGGAACGCTGGACCTTCAGAACAACGACCTCCTCCAGGTGCCACCAGAACTTGGAAACTGTGAGACTCTGAGGTGAGGGCTTTACGTGGTGACCTCTTTTATAAAAATGTGTTCTGACTGATTTCTTCAGGGCGTGTTTTGTCAGAGGAAGAAGTGCCAGGTGGCAATGTAGGGTTTTTTTGTAGGTCTCAACAAAAAGGATCTCTCTTACCATTGTAAAACAATGCCGTTACTTCGCGTTTTCTCAATATTGTAGAGAATTGGGGGAGTTGTTTCACGATTTTTTAAAAAAAGGAAAGGGTACGTTGGTTTGTGTCAATCTAACGTCGGAGCCTGAGTCAGTTACCTTGCCTGGATGTACCGGCCAGGCAGGTGAGCCGTAGCACCGTCTGTCACTGCCTGTGTAACTTGCCGTGCTGTAAAAGAGACGGGGTAACGTTCTCTAAATAACGTATAAAGAGACACGACGGTGAATATCCTTACGTGATACACCACACAGACGACCGTTAGGTGTAAGTGGCCTGTCTTGTCAAAGACAACAAATGACCGGTCCGTGTGGTTTTCCCTTTTAAGGGCACTTGGCTGGAGGGACATCAAAAATACAAAATAAAACACACACCCCCCAAGCAGAAACCTCCGCAGAGCTGTACGCGTACCAAAGAACAACAGGCTAGAAAGCAGAGGGTTACAGTTTAACAGTTTTCCCCTTTGACTGTACCACTTCTGTATTTCAGAAGTTTTTTCTCACTCTTTCTTCTGGCAGAGGCTTGCTGAAGAAGTAGGGTATTGTGTCTCTACAGTGATGTACCGCCACTGATTTACTGGCATAAATCAAAATTCAGATGTCTCTAAAGAAGATGAGTTAGTGTGAACTAGGCAAGCAGAAATTAAAATTCTTTTTCAGTAGAACAGAAGAGGAACTACTTCTAGATTTTTTGAACCTATGCAGTGTACGAATGTGTTGGTACAAGGAGAAGTCTTTACACAAGTAACTCAAAAATCTCTGTGTTTCCAGGACACTTCTGTTGGAAGGAAATCCATTCCGCACTCCCCGGGCAGCCATTTTGGCAAAAGGAACAGCGGCGGGGCTGGAGACTCTGAGAAGCCGCATTCCTCCTTGGA